TACCATGCTTTTATTGCATCTTTGAAATGGATTTTATCATCGTCGCCGACGCCACGTTGCCCATTTACAACTATTTAAACGCATCGTGCCTCAATAACGGGCACATTAATGACGGATGATGATTTTAAGAGCACCTTCAGTCCTATCAGTTGATGATCTACTGTCTTAAGAATTTTCGTTCGCTCACCCTTAATCCATTATATTAGACATCGAGACCTGGATTATATCCTTTTTAACTTATTTGAAGACAACGTCATGCGGTCGATAACGCTGTTTGTTCTGAGAATTGATAAATGATCATGGCCTAGGCATATCCTGTATGGAACGCCACGAGCCATTGATTGACTAATAGCCGAACACAATACTTATAATCAACTGAAGCTAATCAATTAAAGCTTATTTGGGTCATGATCCCGCCTTGTCTATAAATGAGAAGCGCTATTGGTGCGGATCCAAGTTGCGATAATTTTGGCGCGGGACATTGGATTGTTCAAATTGTTCGGAGCAAGATTGCCAGGAGTTTTGAGTCGACTCGGAAGGCAGAAGCGGATGTGAAGCGTGATTCTCGAAAAACTGGGATAAGCGACAGCATGTCGCTGTCTTTAGCCTTACATCTTTGTGATATGTATTTTTTCCCGTTGTAACTGAGGCCCCAATAGATTTCATCGATACTGACAGAAAAGAGCGATTGTGTGCTGCGTGTTCCAAGGTAAGATCCTGTGGAGAAAGCAAATGTAGATCTTTATTATATTGGTCAAGCCCGGATGCAGTGAAGCCCCATAGGCTTGCTGTGAGAAAGTTTACTCGCTAGTTGATGAGTAAACATGGTATCATGACTTTTTTGCCCCCCAAAAAGTGTACATTAGTCTCGAATTTACCTGTGCAAGAACGCCAGCCAAGCCGGTGGCATCACAGAGTTGGTACAGCCAGTACGGAGGGTATTATACTCTTCCTCAATAATATATGTGACCATTACAAAGGACATTGACTGGGAACTGAGTGCGAGGATTAACTTCTAAAGCTCTTATCAATTCTTTGATCTTTTTTTGTAGAGGATATAATCTCGTAATTATGACTATTGACCTACCATGGGTATTGTCCCAATAGAAAATAGTGCTTCGTGATATTGACCTTATTATTGGAACCAAATGTTGCGTCAAGCGTCAATGGCAATCAGTGCGACGGCATAGCCGTTTTCTCCCGCGAGAAAAAAATCAACCAGCTCAACACCGGCAGTATGCGTCGGAAGGCTAAGTTAAGTGGTAGCTCGTGCATACTTTTAAGTGGTTACGATACAAGCACAAATTTCAATTTTTCGAAACGATGAGTTACATACCATCCAGGTCAGATGTGCATTGTACAATGCTTTTGCCAGCTTAAAGCGGCAAAAGAAGAACCTTTCAGTTTACGATAAATAAATTCTGCGAATAAGTATGTATTTGTCAAGTTAAGGTAACATTTGCTAAGTCAAAGCCATTCGGAATCAAACAGATCATGCGTCGATGCGCACAGCGACAACATCACCACACCTATCTCAGAGCGCGGCAATATTAAGATGCTTTGTTGCCAAGTAGAAAACATAGACTTAGGGCCTTATCATCACGAATCGTGAAAACATTATATTTATCATTTTTAGCTCTCTTTCAAAGCTTTCTGTATGGGTAGATGACAAACCACATGCGGGTAATAAGGTTTGAACATACTCAGTAACTCACTACACATTTAGCATATGCCGAGTCAAATACAAAGTTGCACCTTCACTTAAATCGAAATAGAATTGAGCTGCTCTTAAAAAATGAGGATGCATCTTGTTTAGTGCTGTATCACGATTTCACTTCATGACATGTCTAGTGTATGGCTCAAGTTAATTAGTGCCTGAATGTATATTTTTTGTGCGGTTATTCACTCAGATACCCCAGATATATTATCACCGCAACTCGAAAAAAACACGTGACTCAGCTTTGAACCGACTCGTGTGGTATCTTAATGCTTATTAGAGGACTTTCCACGCCATGGCGCACTGTCACTGAAAATCGGAATGAAGTTATTAATGGCATCGCGCTGATTTTGCACAATGCACTCGCAAATCCACACCAAATTGCGTACTTCTTGCTCTTTCAGCTTGACGTATGCGTAGAAGCATGCTGTTGCAGAGCACATAAAGTTTGTCGGCCAATTACAACAATTCATGATCAATAAAACAATGGAAATTTCCCACCAAAGTGCATTTGGCTTTGGAATGCCAGCTCCGCCATCTGGACGTCGCGCTCGTAAAATGCATCGTCGATCGATTTGCTGTCTACACCTTCGCCCTGGTGAACTTCCCATATTTTGCGGTACACTGGGAAGGAGTCTAATGCTGCTCCAAGCGCCGACTCATCACCCGCTTCCGCCAGAAGAGCTGTCGCATCGGGATACAACGTACCGATAGACGGATACAGTGGCTTGCGGTCCGAAATTCGCATTGCAGGCTAGAGCATGGTGCCCCACACATACCACGATACAGTCAATCTAAAGCCTCCAAATAGACTTTTGCAGTGACAAACAACCTCGTTTAATGGTGTACCGAATGAGTTTAACGTTATGTTGATGGCAATGCGGTCAGCGCGCGCCTTTAGAATGTCTCCCATAATGACTGCCGTATCGCCGCCAATGTTCTGTAGTGATCAGTCTATTAATTCAGCCACATAGATGACATAAAGCTTTGACGGCTAACCTGACAAAAGTTATAAAAATCCTCGAGCCACAGCTTCAACATGCTGTTCTTAATAAGCTCCATTTGCATCTCTTCGAGGACGTTACGGACGTCCGAAGTGCCTTCCATGCGATCGCCACCCGCGCTTTCTTCTAAGAATTGACTGAAGTACGTTCCTGCACGTATACAATATAATATTCGCCTTAAGACAGGTAACATTAAATGGACGCGGTCAATGCGATGCACCAATAGGGGTATCAATCAGCACAGTCTCGTATAAGTCCGAGTAACCCTTAGCATTTGGCTCGAAAGAACAAATACTGCGCATAATGGACTCGTCAAACTTTCCAAGTGGATGAAGCTTGAAGCGACCAGAGCAACATTAGATGACGCAAATCTTTATTTGATTAATTGCGCCAAACCTGTCCAATCAACTCGTTTACATTGCGTCCATTTAGCGTTCCCTTCAAAAGCAAGATGACGTTGTCGATCATGTACTCGAACCTATATATCCCAAAACCTTTGTAAGCGCCTTTAATCAACATGGTTAAGCTTGACACACGTGATAAAATCGAGAAATTGGCCCAGAGGCTCCATAGCCTGCGCGCGTAAGAAGTTGAACTCTTCTACGAGCTTATTAGTTGTGCCAGTCTGGATCAAACCAGGCGAAATCGAGCCCGACGACTGTAGCAAAAGGTAAGCGCAGTCAATATTAGCGACAACGTCGTAGGCATTCTTTGATCGAGTGATACTTCGTCCGCTAGAAATTGGTCGTAGTCTGTCTCCTGCAAATTCAGCTTCACATCTACACTAGAAGAGTCAGGCTTGAAGTTTCACGCAGGTGTTCGTTTTATCTTCGTACCTTCAAGACTCCCGCACTGTGTAAGATGATGATAGTCCACATCGTCCAGAAAGCCTGAGCGAAAGCCACGCACTAATCCTTCCACGTAACCGTGCTGAATATTAAACGTCGAGATGTTTCCTGCTGCTGCTACCATAGTTCTCTAAAGCGCCTACTCGTCCTAAATCTTTTCCCTTACCAATTGACATACTTTTGACCACTTAAAATACGTTATTATCCTCACCAAGCGTATCACTTCAGTATGTTGCGCTGTCGACTGCGTCGAACACTTGCAACGAGGCGCAAAGTTTCAGTTGCTTCTTTGCGCGCGTGGAAAACTATCGAGGACAAGTGGCAAAAAAAATGGGCTAAACAAGATCTGCAGCTGGCGTCACCTACTGAGAAAGAACCGTTCTATTGCCTTGCCATGTTCCCGTACCCGTCGGGTCAGCTGCATATGGGTCACGTACGCGTGTATACAATCAGTGACAGTATGGCGCGTCTGAAGCGTATGCAAGGATACAATGTGTTGCATCCTATGGGATGGGATGCCTTTGGATTACCTGCGGAAAACGCAGCCATCGAACGCGATATTTCGCCAGTTGAATGGACCGTTGCTAATATTGCACAAGCTAAAGAGCAACTCATAGCATTGGGCATTCAATTTGACTGGAACCGTGAGGTCACGACGTGCAAACCGGAATACTACAAATGGACTCAATGGATCTTTCTGCAAATGTACGAAAAAGGACTCGCCTACCGCAAGGAAGCACTTGTGAATTGGGATCCGGTGGATAAGACAGTGCTCGCGAACGAACAAGTAGACGCAGAGGGAAGATCTTGGCGCTCTGGAGCCATTGTCGAGCAGCGCTCACTCAATCAGTGGTTCTTACGCATCACAAAGTACGGAGATCGATTGTTAGACGACCTCGACAAGGTACAGAGACGAATATAGTGGTTAGATGGATTTTCACCAGCTGATATCATTCAATGAACAGCTTGTCAAGTGGCCGGGCGCCGTTAAACGCATGCAAGCTGCGTGGATTGGCCGCTCGAAGGGCTCACAAGTCGACTTTCGAGTTTGTTTGGATACAGATGTAAAGCCGATTTCGTTAACGGTGTTTACCACGCGTGTTGATACTCTTTTTGGTGTGACTTTCATTTCGATGGCTCCTGACAGCGCATATATGAAGGATCTTCTTCCTCATCTTCCGGTGGCGCAACGTGCTGCTGTAAACGCCTATGTCGCCAAAGTACAAGCCGTAAGCAAAGACACCCAAAGCGATGGTGAAACAACGGCTGGTGTGTTCACGGGACTTTTTGTGCACCATCCTCTTACTGACCGCCAAGTACCCCTATACCTAGCCGAGTATGTGCTGCCTCATTATGGCACCGGCGTGGTTATGGGCGTACCTGCACACGACAACCGAGACCTGACATTTGCGCGTCATCATAAACTCGAAGTGCGCTTTGTGGTGACGAGTAGTGACGGGGCAATATTGAAGAAAGACGAAGCATTCATGGATTATGGTGTGCTGCACGACAGCGAAGAATTCACTGGTATGACCTCACAAGATGCTACGAGGGCTATCAATGCTCGCCTCAAGTGTAATGAATTGGGTGGTGCAATGACTCAATTTCGTCTGCGCGATTGGCTTGTGTCCCGTCAGCGGTATTGGGGCACACCCGTGCCGATCATTCACTGTCCTATGTGTGGTCCAGTTGGTGTCCCTACTGAGCAGCTGCCGGTTGAGCTGCCACCTCTAGACAAGGATGTGGCTTATACCTTGCGTGGCAGGAACAGCAGCGACTCTCCTCTTGCGCGTTTAGCTCACTGGAAGCAATGTAGATGCCCACGTTGTGATGGTGAAGCTGAGCGTGACACTGATACACTGGACACGTTCGTCGATAGCTCGTGGTATTACATGCGCTACTGTGACGCGCGCAACGACACGGCTGCATTTAAACCAGAGCAAGCACAGACATGGCTGAAGCGCACGGGTGTGGATCTTTACATTGGTGGTATCGAACACGCAATCCTGCACCTGCTGTACTCACGTTTTGTTACCAAATTTCTGTTTGACCTAGGGTTGCTGACCACCGACGAGCCTTTTGCACAGCTCCTAGCTCAAGGAATGGTGCTAGGCCGCACGCATAAGTCACCTCACTCGTTGCGACCATTAGCGCCAGACGAATACGATGAGGTGATCGATGACGGTAAAAAAATTATTCAAGAAAAAAAGACCGGGCTACCGGTAGTGACGCAGTGGGAAAAAATGTCTAAATCTAAGTACAATGGGGTGGATCCGGGACATATTTGTCGTCGTTACGGTGCCGACGTGACTCGTCTTGCTGTGCTCTTTAAGGCACCACCTGCTCACGAGTTGGAATGGGATGAAGCCGATCTTGCTGGTCAATCACGCTGGCTGGCTCGAGTTTGGGTGCTCGTGGATGGCTTATTGGTCCGTCGGCAACATGGTCCACGTCTGCTTGTCGATGAAAAGGTCGAAAATAAGCTTATGTATGAGCTGCATGGTACTATCAAACGTGTGACCGAGGCACTAAATGACTTCCATTCGTTCAACGTTGCTATTGCAGAGCTTATGAAGCTTTCAAACCTCTTGGCTGAGAGCCGTTCCCAGGTGGAGGGCTCTGTCGCTTATAATGTTGCCCTGAAAACGCTTATCTTGATGTTGGCTCCGTTGGCTCCTCACAGTGCTTCTGAGATGTTCCAGGCTTTGCAAGATGGTAGTGAGGCATTAGACGTGCACGCATGTGCATGGCCAGAGTACGATTATAAATTGCTAAAACGTGCTCATGTAAAGGTCGTTTTGCAAGTGCATGGCAAGCCGCGCGATACTATCACGGTAGATTCTGCCTTACTGGAGGTCCAGGATTCGGATGGCGTATTGGCACTGGCATTGGCCTCCCCTGCCGTTCAGCGCCATTTACGAGGACGTGCCGTACGAAAAGCTGTGTTGGTAGCGCCCAAAAAGCAAGGTGCCCATGGGCTGCTTAACATTGTGACGAAGTAGGTGATTATAGTAGATGTCAAGCACCTCCTTAACAAATGATTTGATTTCCTTTCAGCTTTGAAGTAATGAAAATGATTAATTGAACTTCGTGCATTGCTAAAATTAGATTGCCTTTCGACTTGTACTGCACGAAGTCAAATGCAAGAGTATTGTAGGTGTCAAAAGGTAGCTGGAGAGAAGCTGAGTATCTTATAGGGCAAGTCAATATGCTCTTTAAGGATACGCCGCCAAAGCAATTTTTTTCCACACAGAGTCGGTTGCGCAAAAATATATCGCGTTCTCATCATACCGAAGAGTTCCAGCATTGCAAGCACTACCTCCGATTGGAGCAGTAGACACAGCGCTTCCCACAAAAATGACATCACCACCGTCTAATTTCAAATTCGGCGACGAAATCGTAAGCGTGGCCGAAGATCCGGATTGGGAGTGTAAGATTGACGCCTGCGTAGCACTCAGTTTAACCTGGCCAACAAAATTCGCTGCGAGAATGTTCACGATACTGCCAGTAGTGTCCACGTAAAGAACATCAGTCGATGCACTCTGAGACACGCGAAAATCATTCGAGTCGACATGCAGTGGACCACCAGACACAGTTGTTGCCGTTCCAGTTATCATGATCTGCGACGCCGACGTAAATTGAATCGTCGAACTTGTGGACGTAAATGCGATCGCTAAACTCCTACCAGCCAGCTCAGTGCCAGTGACTTTAAGAAGATCTGGTGCTCCAAGTGTAGACTTTTTCACGTAAAAGCCGCCATCAGCCGCCCCTGTACCGATATACGCGCGCACAGAGCCACCTGTACCAGACGTAGAATCTCCAGCTATCAAATCAACAGAACCACCCATGCTACTTGACGATGTTTTGCCTGCAGCTATTGTAATACTTCCACCATTGCCTGTGTTTCCTGCTCCAACTGACAAAGCAATTGCACCTCCTTTTCCACCAACAGAATCACCTGAACTGAGAGTAATTCCACCACTGTCGGCATTCGTAGCTGCACCTGAGGAGATGATAATGTGACCGCTTGCAGATCCAGAAGCACCGGTACTAGTCTCAATTGTAATGGCTCCTCCTGCTGCACCAGTGCTCAGTCCACTTAACAAGATAATTTCACCTCCGCTTCCTGTGCCACTGCTCCCACCCTCAATGCTAACCTTTCCGCCAGATAGGCTTCCATTTCCTCCCTTGATTGTTGCAACGCCTCCAGCACCTGCTGAAGTGATACCTGCCGCGGCTGTCCAGCTAGCGCCTACTGCTGACGTACTCGACCCGACAGCAAACGTCATGCTACCAGCAAGTCCATTGGTTGATGTACCTGTTGATAGCGTCATCGCACCCGTTGGGCCAGACGCTGCTCCCGACCCAAATGACACGTCACCGCTTCCGACAGATCCACCAACTGCCGATGCAATCTGTATTAATCCACTGTAGCTGCTTGCGCTTGTTCCGCTGCTGATAGCGACAGTTCCACCGTTGTCTCCGGTTCCAAAGCCACCATCAATTGAGATTTTTCCTCCTACAGTGCCACTTCCTGCTGATAAAGATGCTTCGCCACCGGTCCCACCACTGCTTTGACCAGCCGTTAGACTCAAAGCCCCTCCCATTGTCGTACCTGTACCAACGGATACTGTAATAGCTCCGGCCTTTCCGCTTAGGGAAGCCCCAGAAGAAACCAAGATACTACCGCTGTTTCCAGACGTTGTCGAGCCTGTTTTGATTGAGACTGAACCACTTGCACCAGGTACAGATTTTGCAGCAGATGAAAAAGCAACATCTCCACTAGCAGCTGAGGACAAACTTGCACCACTAATGAGTGTGATTGACCCGCCAGCACCAGCAACTCCACTAGCACTGGCTATCCCGGCTCGAAGCAACAATGCTCCACCGCCACCGCCGCCATCGCCAGACATGATTGACACCTGACCACCAGCTGCTGTCGCAGAACTGGAGGTTCCAGCAGATATTGAAAGGGCCCCTCCAGCTCCGACAGA